ACGCCGCTTCCTAGCCATTAAAACAGTCTAGATCAGTGCTTCTCAAACTATACATTCTTTTATCGGTTGCGATTTGTTTAAACAGTCGACTTTTACAACATTACGGAATCTATGAATACGTGAAGCAAAAACTTTGTATTCCTTTTACGAAAATTGTGCGGACGGAGAAGAATGAAATCCGTACAATTATATAAATAAGGATGCATAAATTAGGATGAAACTTTCACAGAATATGTTATTAAAGGTAAATCAATAAATCGGCTTGAGAACAATTACTATTGTCAATTTTTACAAAACACCACATAGTAGTTTATAAATAAAATAATATTTAATTGTAACATTTTATTCATTTTTGTGATCTGATTATTATTATAAAAATTATCGTCTAATAATGTTAAATTAATAAATGTGTTTAAGAACACAACACAGTGTAATAGGAAAGTTTGAGAGCCCTTGTTTCAGATAGTAAACGTCATAGTAAACTTTACTAAATATCCCCACTTTAAATGCTTAATCGCTTTTCGAAGGTCCGACTGGATCTTATTTTACGTTTTACAGTGTAAACGACGCAACGTCCACTTACTATATGCAAACGGCATATTGTAACTTATGTATATCATCGTTAATATACAATTCGTGTATGAAACTTGCATACCTATATCTTAAAAATTAATAAATATACATCTTATAAAAATTACATTACCAATTTTGACTCATTAACAACCATAGAGTAGCGAGTTTTTCTAATGCAAATATTTCATTTATACTTACAAAGAAATGCTAGGCTCAAAATGAAATGAAAATTATTGATCCATGAAAGGTTGCTGTAATAACAATGGTTTTAAAATAAAAGTAATGTAAAATTATAAGAAACAGTTCAATGAATAAATGTTATATTTTAGTTACTTAAAGCATCAGTACTTAAAACAAACCAAGGCTTTGCAAGCATTGGATTGCATGCTTAAAGAGCGTTTTTGTAAATACAGTAATACATAAATAGAAGAATTACTACTACTATTACTACTATTAGTGATACTATCAAAATCTAAAGATATTTTTTTCTGACAATGCCCTCAGTTTACCCATCATAGTTAATTCATTTATCACGTATCACATTCACATGATAACATAAGGACCATAGGGTTCGTATGTTGGTATGTATATGGGCGGCGATTACAGCTTTCTAGTTCACGGGCCACCAGCTTGTTTATCATTTTAATTACATGAACAAAAAACCGGTAAACACAGTTTCAAATTTATAATATTAGTATGGATTGCATCCTAATCTAGGCAAAAAAATTCTTTGAGACAGTTATTCCATCATAAATATCTGTACTTACACTCTACAGATTTCGACGTCATTATTAGAAAATATAATAAAAAAGAGAAATAAATTACACCCAGGTTAAATAATTATTTCATTGTTGGAAGTTTATTCAAGTGATTCCCTCAAATAGGAGGCCTATTATGAGTATAAATATTTAATAACATTGTTTCAGGAGGCCCTGGGGCGCTAAGAACAATTAGTGGGCTGTAGACGGTCTTTATGCAATATAAAACAAATTTATAACGCCCTAATACAAGAACTCAGTAACATAGTTACATTGGACTAAATAAAAAAATCCATCAAATTTCGTTTAGCATCTTATGATATTGCTTATGCAACAGACGCCATCTTTTATTTTTAATTTACTTGTTTATCAACTAACTTATATTTAGATAACTCGGCAGGAATAGATGACCTGATAGTCAAGTGGCAACTAACACCTACAATCCTACATACTACTTGAACAAGACAGTTATCAAGTCAGCATATTGCGCCCATGGCAGACATCATCCTTTGATATTCCTGCGTAAGGTGTCTAACAGGGTAAGAAGTACGTGCCTTATAATGTCACTGCCAAATCACGCCCTACAACAGAAACAGATTTTAGAAGGAAAATGACGGCGGGTTTTTGCAATTGATTAGTTGTGACATACTGTGCATGTATATATAGAAACGACCCACTCATGAATATAAATGTTTGTATCATACGAGGAATCGAAACTGCAACATTCGGCAGTATAGCAGTGCTCAACTGCTAGACCACCGAGGTCGTCACGTGGCTAGAAAGTATAAACGAACTACTCGTACATCTGTGCATATTTAAAATACCTATGCCTTTGAGAAACTGTCCTTTGTGAACTGAAAGCTCTACCAATAACACTATAAATTTATATATTTTTTTATATTTATATAGGGTTTTTTAATAATTATTCTATCAACACATTACGTACCTACTTCTATCTCTTCCAGAGTGATTTCCTGACACATAAGCTAAATATTACTGTTTATAATAATAACTAATATATTATTTAAATTTACTGACTCTGTTGAATAGACAAAGAAACATACAAAGATTTTTAAATCGCGATTAAAAATGACTTTACAAAAGCTGCTTGATTTTGTACTAAATAGCATATTATAGACGTTGGTTAATTTTGTTATGATATCGTGGTAATGCGACGTCATCCTTCACATATGAACGACGAGCTCTTCTAAATATTTCCGATGTCACCCTCAAGAACTCTAAGTTTATTATAATAGAACTCATTTTCATCAGCCTCTGGTATTGGCATCCATTGGTGTCCCTGGTACAGATAGGATTTGCCACCACGACCCCGATAACCAAACCGTGTAGCGACGTCTTGTAACTTGTTCTGCGGCGGAATTTCATATATTCTGGACATCATGTACGCGGACTGCTTCTATAAATTTAAAGATTTTTTTCAAAAACCCATATAAATTGTAACACTAACATGTCGTAAACAACTATAATAAGAATAGATTTTGTTTTGGATAGATTAATAATAAAAAACACACACACCGCACAGTACATAAAACCTATGTACTTATTGTCTCCAGTTTGTTTGAATCTCATATCGGTTGGTTCAATCGAAAAATTCTTCTTTATTGCTGTAATTAAAGAATAATTAATAAAATTAGCTTACAAATCAACATTATTTACTGCAAATATCAAAGTCTTGTAACTTCGATACTAAATTGTCTTGATTCTGTTTTTACAAAGTTTACCACGGTAAAATCTCTTATGATATCCTTAAGAATATAAACCACAATGATTGCTATTAAATTAAAACATACCTTTCAAAAACGGGTACACCCAGTATTCTCCTCGATTTCCTTTCTGTATTAGTATCATAGTTTCGTTTATATGATTCTTCATGAGAACGTGAGGTGCAGTCCAGTTCAGTGAGTGGGACACGTGACCGCTTAATCTACGGTTTATTTTTTCCCTTTGCTGAAAATAATTAACATATTTTGTGTCTTTAAATGTATCGTTGTAACATATCGTCAAAGAGGGATAGAGCATGAGGTATTTTGTCCTAATTAGAATGTTATAAAACGTATTTTATATATAACTGGAATAGCTGACGGCTGAGGTTACGTTTTACGTATACCTTCAGGTATGTGCCTGATGATATGTGGTATACGTAGCCTATATATATAATAGCACTACGGACATCATGTTATCATGTGACGCGCGCGACCACACATGCCTTTCCATTCCAGAAATCTTGTTTATGTCATGCCTATTGTCCTGGAAATTCACTACTTGAACAGAAATACACAAAAGCTAGCAGCTTCGCAGTTGAAATAGGTAGACAGAGGTACCTATGCAGACCACTTCTTGCAATGTCTACCACGGTAGAGTCACAGGAGACCACAAATCACAAGAATTCCTTGTAAATTAAAATAAAATCCTAAAAAACTAGTACACTCAGTACTTTCTTCAATTTCGGTATAGTATATTTGTAATATATATAATATACTCACAACTGCTGTTGGAATTGAAAACTTGTAAGTCGTGATTTCCATGTGTGGTCCCCAATAATAAAACACAATCCACGTGTCGTTCAGCACAGAGTAAGGGTTGAATCTGGCGTATCGACTGAATTCATCGCACGATATTGTTTCTGAATCATCCAATGTTGGTTTCAACACAGTTTCAGATAATACATAGGCTAAAACAACTGATATTACAAGTGTGTATCTGAATACATTTAAATTTCTTTCCATTTTGTATTCTCTGAAAATTATATTATATTTTCTCTTTATAGTGTTTTACATTGTAAGTTAGTATATCTATTTGTAGTCAAAACTGAACTATTGTTTTAATTAATATATGACATAGACGTGTACTGGTATGATAGGTACTTGTATAATAATTTGAATTATCCTGTACGAAACAATTAATAAATATGACAATTTATTTTCATTATTTTAAATAAAAAATATAAACATAGGAAGATTTCAATGCTCACTTACCTACGTTACAATGAACGAAAATTGTGTCACTGTATTCTGAAATGCTTACCTGCTTTCTGTTTATTCATAGTTTAGTAGGTATTTTCTTAAATATTACACAGTTAATTATTATAATAAAATTATTTGTTTATTTATTATATTTTAATTGTCACACACATTCTTAGCGAATTCCAATGCACTCGGAAAAATATCAATGTTTGACTATTATATTTAATACATTCTTCAATAAACTTTAGTTATAATTATCACAGTACCAATATTAATATCAAGTCATATATTATCTCAGAGAATCATATGATTACGACTCAGATCTACACATAATTAAATTAATTTTTTACTCTGAATGTGTATACCTTCTATACTGTAAAAAACGTTTTTTACTTGAAATAGTGAACAAGCGTTTGTTATTTGTTTGTGAAAAGTAGATTGTATTGGAATGAGACATAATTGCAGAATGTCAAAGAATGATAACAACCAATTGTTTGAGCAATTGGTTGTTATCATTCTCATTATCATCATTCATTCTTGGTTGAATTTTTTAAAGCAACCATATTATTCAGGACGCTAATATTTACGAAAGACAAAATATAAAACATTCTAAAAGGGAATATTTTATTATACCTATTACTAATATAACCACAATCAAAATATAAAATAAATACTTATAGACCTACATTAGCACTGTATGTTTACATACTAATTAAGTTAATAATAGAAGTAATAGCAAACAGTAATTAGTAAGAATTCTTCAAACTTAGGTAATATTTAAAAGTATTAATGCATGTATAAATCCATCGAAGTAAAAAAATCGTTTTGTCACATAACTCCATATTAAGGTGAATATAATTTTAGATGAAATTTAAGAAGCCCAGTTCTATTTATTCAATTTGATATATAAGAAAAAAGATGTAAAGTTATAGTATATTTCTTTTAGAATCTTTCTTTAGGAATAGAATGGACTTCTATTGTTTTAATATATTTCATGTTTTCCTCTAACAATTTCTGTTCTTTTATCATAGCTAATCTTAGTGCTTCTTCTTTAATATCTCGTGAGACAGGATACCCCATACCAGAGAAATTTAACTTGGCAGCTTCTGCCTTCTTATCATAATCATTATCTGGTTCATCACCAGATACAGCCATGATAGTTGCGTAATGATCATCACAGTACATCATAACCAGGTATGGATCTAGTATCTTGAGCTGGATCTTTATTACTGGTAGGCTTACTCGTTTCCCTGAAATATTCTATATTTTAGAGTCTTATAATTAATTTATAATTACATAAAAACACTGTAGATGGAACTAAACCCCGTGGACGATCACCCATGCGATGGACCGAATAATCAAAGCAGCAATAGGCAGTCCACTCCACGAATGTACCAGAATGGCAGTAGAGACAAATGGCGAGTACTCTAGTACGGCGGATCACATCAATCTCACACCCCACTACATAATGACCACGACTGTTCTGTCAAGAACGTATCGAATGAGAAGAAGAAGAAAAACAACCGTCTCTAATTATTATCTGGATAGAATTTATACGTGTAATAACCGATTAATGAATTTATTAAAGAATAATATCATAATGAAAAAAGTTAAGTAATTATTTATTATTATGTCATTCGTAACTTACCACTAGATAAAGGCTGACTGGGTATTGCATAAAATGTCCCCTTTCGATTTAATGACACAAGCAAAATATCACGATTTTCTTTTAATAAGATTTTAGGTTCATTCCAATTGATCACTTTGTCTAAATATGGACCGTAATGTTTTTTAAAATATTCCACTGTCTGTGAAAGAAATAGTGTATGATTTTATATTGATGATGATATCACCGCAATATTTTTTTTAATTCCTGTGGTCAAAGATGTCATATTCAATCATTTATAGCCTTATCTCATCTTTCAACCGAATGACATCTTAAAAAAGCGAGCTGCTTATTGACTGAAATGGGGTAAGTCACTGTAAATCAGTAATCTATGTTATTAATTGATTTTCAGTATATGTACTCGTAATCTTGTATCGAATCTTCAAGAATGATATCATTACAATCCACTCTCCACTGTTTATTATTTATACTAGTCTTATACACAGAGCCTAGATGTGAAAACCACCATTAGTTAATTCAGCTAAATTAAAATACTTAGTACCTTACCTTAGCTGTAGGGTAAGAAAATTTGTGAGTAACGGCAATCAAATAAGGTTTAGATGACCATGTAAAGAACGGAACCCAATCTAAGCCGATTATATCTCTGGGATGAAAGTGAAGATCGTATCCAAATTGGTCGCATGTTGTCCAATTTAATTTGTCATCCTTATTTAAAATTTTAAGGTCAAATTTGTTTTCAGTAAAATAGCCCATCTTTTGACTAATAAGGTCTTGTTTAGCTACGCGATTCGATACTAGGTTGTCTACTCGAAATTCAGGAGATGGTTTCGCTATTACTTTTTTTGGTGGTGAGACCAAATTTTTAGCTTGCAAATATTCAAAATTATAAAATTTCGGAGTGTCGTCTATATTTGTCTTATTATTGGCTGTTTCGTCTAATTTCTTATTACTCTTGCGATTATGTTTTTTGCTGTAATATAGAAATTCATCTCTAGGACTTAAAAAAGAAAGAGGTTCTTCCTTTTGTTTTACATATATAATATTCTTAGGTGATTTCATTTGCAGATACATTCTTTTCTCTTCTTTTGATTTTGGCGTTTCCAGAGTTAGTTCAAGGATGTCAACTGGTTGTTTAAGATCCGACATAGGATCTTCAAATCCCTCTTCATATATATGATCAAAAAATACAGGTATATGAGATTCTTTTGCATTAATTGCTATTTGTGGGACAGGAACGAGATCTAAATGTACCGGTCGCCGCTTTCTTGCTTCTATGAAAGCAGCAATGATTAATATAAATAACAGTTGCATTTTCTACACGACACAGTTGTATGAGCTAAGTTGGCCTAAATATAAAGTCTGCGATATCAGGGATTGTGAACATTTTGTAAGTTATTGTGTTTCTTAGGTAAAGTTATATACTCAATATTAATTTACTGAACATCGTAAGATAACAGAAAGTTAAGATTATCAGTAATCAATTATGTTACAAAAATAAAAATAGAAACAAAATAATTATAACAACTATAACTAGCCGAGATTCTATTTTTAGAACAAATTATATTTTCAAACTAGTAAGATACAAAGTAAATAATATGTCGCCCTGAACTATTAAAGAATCACCATCATCAGAAGCACGCAATTTATGTAATAAAAAATTGACTCTCTTGAAAGTGGAACCGATAATTAATTTTGTATTTTTTTTATAATTTACAAAAGGTTTCTGCTATATGCCATAAACATACGTATTGACATACGACGCGATTGGTAACGATTATAGACTTCCTCATTATAAGACATTGTTGATTCGACTCTGCCTAAGGCGTATCAGTTGCAATGTTTTTGCAAATTTAATGAAGTATGATCCTAGACAATTCTTATCTCCTTCCAAACCTTCCTATCAAGTTCAAAAACGACTTGACTTTTTGAACTTAATATTTTCAGAAATATGAACGGATTATAGCTATATCAGACATCTTTACTCGCTTGAAGTCGAGTAAAAAGTATTATACGAGTGTGTTAAACGTGAATATCTTCATACAAAATTTAAATTGTGTCCCTTTGTATACTGTAAAAAAGAGAAGACTATTTTTATATTCGTAATAATTTTAATATACTTATACCTACTATAAATATATCCGACATTTTATCATTGCTAATTGTTTTAAAAAAAGCTTTCAGTAATGACATGTATCAGTAATTCAATCCAGTTTCTTGTCAGTTCTTCTCAATTGGATCTATATACTGAAATAGACGTTAGGGAAAAATTAAAATAAAAAAAATTACGTTAATAAGAGGCTAAAATGATTAATAAATTTTGAAATTCAATTTGATAATATAGCTAGTCTAGTCTAATAAATTTTCTGATATATTTCGTTATTGTTTACTCTTCTTTTATGTAATAATTAGAAGAATTTGTTTTCTTATAAAGCATGAAACATAAAATGTTCCGTTTCATTAATATGCATAATTTTAAAATAAAAGTTATTACGCAAATCTTGACATTTATTTTTAGACGCTTTCCTAATATTGTGTTGTATATTTGTTTAAAGGATCTGTATGTTATTAATTTGTCTATCTATATCATCCTGAGCATCATCGTCAGCATTATCTAAATGCTCTGTAGGTGGTATTGCTAATGCAATAAAGTTGTCATCCACTAAGTATGATCTTCCAAATGGACTCCAAAATCCCAGTTTCGATGCAGCTGGAACCAGCTGTAAGTGAATCTTAATCATTATCCATTGAGACTAAGAAAAAATAGTCAATTAAACTCCAAGAGAAACCTGCACACTCTTTTAACTTAATATTAAAATAACAATATAAATATTTATATGTGATATATAAAGATATTATTTTTTGCATTCTTACTACCTAATACGAAATTCATATTAATACGAAAGTGTGTCCTGTTTGTTTTTTAAGTACCTTTCAACGACTAAACTGATCGAATCTTAATGTAATTTGACATAAAGATAGATAACGAGGAGATATATGTAAACATTGAAGAATGACCTCATCATTATTAGTCCCGTGGAATGGCAACATATGATAACGTGATGTCCGTCGTGCTATTCATGTTGTATACAGGCGTATGGTTATCGCTTACCATCAGGACCGATATCTTATTTGCCATTCTAATGCTTAAAAAAGCCGATAATAAATTCTAGAAGGGAAAATAATTCCCCTTATTTCCCCTAGTTTTCACAACATTTTTTTAATGATTTATTTATAAAATAACTTATTATTTTACTCCAAGTGTTACCTTTATCACAATGGTGACCCGTTAAAAGTTTGTTCATATACTAACAATATACGTGTTAAATGAATGTGTTAAAATATTTTAAGTGAACCTTACTTCAGAGGGAGGTGGCATGTCGTCCACTGGTGCTAGAGCATAAGCCAACCGATGCTTGCAATTCACGATGCCCAAATATCCAGGAGCCACAACTTTCAGCCCAAAAGTCAGGTACGGCGTATCATTTACTAAAAAGTATATGCGTTCTATTGTATATATTATATAAACGAAATATTTACCACATTGCTATTATTTATAAAAACTTGGTGCGTCAATACAAAATAATAAATATTTCAATATAACATAACAGCTAATTGAAATATTTTGTTTACTGATATTAATTTAGGAGTACATCCAGACAGTCAGTGTATTTACTTTAATTTGCAGTTTTAATATTTAGTAGTTACCCTTAAAAGAAATTTAATAATTACTTACAATGAAAGGAAAGCGATGGTATAAGTCTATACAGTCCAGATACGTTAGTCTTAATAAACAATCCACTGAGATCTATTGAAGTCTCCACAAACAAATCTGCATCAGTCCAGTTCACCGGAGGTTTCAACTCATCATTTAGTTCTACTCTAAATCGGTCTATTAACTGTAATTTTATAGCACTATTTACAAATTATAATAGTAAGGCAATGTGGCTTAACAACTATAATCCTAGGTAGAGTAGTCAGTCTAATTATTAACTGTCGATGTTGATGAAAGCAATACTTGTTATACTAACGTTTCACTGGGTATATTTAATTCCAATGTAGTTTGAGAACGAGGCTTTCTTTGTCTCATGGATTTTTTGGATTTGCTATCTATGTGTCCTTGGGAAAGTGAATCAGGAAAATTAATTGAATCGGCCAGTTTTGAACTTACAACCTCTCAGGTGTAAATCAGTGTAGTAAGTCACTAAGCCATATCACTCTCAAAAACAAACTTAATATTTTACATATGTATAATAATAAAAATAACAATAATTAAATCTGTAATAAGGATTAAATTACAATATATCTTCACGACCACGATCACGAACTTATATTTTTGACATAATATTTTATTTTTATTTTATTATGAATTAGAATTGAAAAATACATACAACTCTCAATGTTCGCCCTTCTTGCATCAACCCTAATTTTTAATAGCAATTTTAATTTATATGGCAAAACAACGTTTGCGGGGTCAGCTAGTTTAATATAATGTATTGTTTCCATCCGCAGAGAGTAGGTAATAATTATAAATTGATTCTAACATAAGACTTTTGATCGGATCCAAGTTGAGGTAGCCACCACTAAGCCACAACCATCTGTACTACTATTAGAAAGAGGTAAAATTTGTAAATTTGGATGTACGAGGTAATCTACGGTGGTACTGATCGCGTTTCGAAAATTCTTTTAGTTTTGTTTAGCCCATTTATTAAGGAACACTTATCAACATCACGTTACGACCAGTAAGAGCAGTGCTATAATCCTACTAATATTATAAACGCGAAGATTGCGAGTATCGATGGATATGAATGGGTTTGATGGATCAAACTTTATAGTACTATAGCTTAAACGTCATAGTCTAAAACTTTTATAAGGGCGTAATCGCTGGCACAGCTATGGAAAAAGTACTGCCAAGTTGTACAGATCAGCTAGTTACACATAAGAGTAGATAAATAAATAGGTACAAACCGAAGGCGTTGGAATACTGAATTTTATGTTATAACTTTCTTCAAAGTCATAATGCCAGAAGTAAAATATCTTCCAATCTATATCTACAACTGAAACCGGGTCAAACTTAGTGTTGTTTAAGAACTCATAGCATGACGTCCAGTTATCAGGACTAATATTGTTCAAATGTCTTATATTGTCACCTTTTGAGACATGTAATAATATGAGGTATGATATTACAACTGCGAGGATCATGTTTTATTTTATGTATTATGTATAATACTATTAATTTTATACAAGTTACACACGCGTTTGCACACACTTCGTTTGCACACCCTTTGAACAATTTAGTTGGTAAAAATATATTAATTTATAAAAATATGTTTATCAATAAATCTTTAAAATACTTAATTATAATTATTTAAAAATTATCTAGTAATAAGAAGTATTTTTGTCTATCTTTTAGTTATATTTAATAGTTCTCATAATTTTTTAAAAAACGTTATTATAATTAAATTACTAAATTAAAGTATCGTCTTAGTAAATGAGATACGTTCTTTCTTTGCAGACTTATAAATGAAACAGTATGTTTTTTTGCATGAAATAAAGATAAACAAACAATACGCTATTTGTTTTAAATTGTATAACGATGACAAAACGACTTACTCATCTTATCGTAGACCTGCTATAAAACTGTATTACCTCCAAAATAACAAACTGTGGGAAATCAACTCTACTGTTACAGTGATTAAGTTTAATATCAAAATTTTGTAGTTTTTGTGATAAACCACTATTATACTAGGTGTTATTATTTATATATACATGATTATACATGATTATAATAAACATAATATTCACTAACAATCAACTCGCTTTTTGTAAACACTAAATATTTTATTGAGAGTAATATTTGATACTAGAGGTGCCTGCAACTTCAAATAGGGCATTTGTAGAACTAGATGCCTGAACTGATTATATTTCACTGTTAAATATAAATTAAGCATCTCTACAACTCCATCTATTATTTTGTTAACAAAATAATTAATAATAGTAGATAGTGTACTTTATCTTTATTGAATTTGGAGTTATTGTGACACATAAACATGTCAACAACATATCTAACCTAATTATCACAATGTGAAAAATATGTAAACCAAAACAAAACAATTATTGAGTGCAAGGTATCTATGTGTCTATTTATTTGTCAATTGACTTTATTAACGCACACAAATAGCGCTATCCCCGAATTATGGATATGTAGTATACCCCGAATAAATAAAAATAAACCATAACACACGTTATTTAAAACAGCGCTATCTAGTCCCACGGTAAGCAGAGCTTATGATATGCGTACTAACAACTGACATAAATATATTTTTTCTGTAAATACATAATATACATAGAAAACACCCAGATCGATACAAACAATCATACTCTTGAATACAAATATTAGCGCACTGTGCGAGGTTTCGAACCCGCGACGGCGAGAAAGCAATGTGCTAAACCGCTAGACCGTCGAGACCGTCAGAGATATCAGATTAGAGAGTTAAGTTATAGGATATGGCCATAACATCTTATTCCTCTGGAATGGAAACACGGTCATCACATTATGACGTCATATCAGTGACTGTTCATTTAGGCGATGCCTGTCCTTTACTTCAGGTAAGCCAATAACTTGTTTACAATTCCAGCCAATAACTTGTTTATATTCATAAATAAACTAAATTAAACCATAATTGGATAGTATAGGAAGGCTTAAATAACACACATGTAAAGTTTAGTAAAACATTTTATTTAACAAGAACTTGTTCATCATTGTTCTTATCACGACTACAAGCTGGATATCCATCACCTAAGTCCATCTCTGCTGCGGCACTCAGTATCTCGGAGCGGTATGGTGGATTATCAGTTCTGGCGGATATGGATCCAACTCCCATATGGCAGTCCATCATCACTAGGAACTTGCCTTCTTTCACCAGTTTTATGAAGAACTTGAGCAGTGGTACGCCATTTTTCATTGGAGTCAAGTCTAAAAGGAGAATATTGATAATTAGATGATCTAAAAGAATATCTAAGTTTTTAAATTGGTATTAAAATATATGTCTTGCAGTATGTATTCTCTTGCTATTTCAATGATTCATTTTAAAAAGAAAGGTATACAAACACCGACTACAATCGTTAACGAACGTGTGACATGTAAGGTAAACAACGTTTTGATTAAAAAAACGTTACTTTGATATTGGATTTATAGATATAAATATGTTAATTACATTGAAATCGTTTCAACAAACTGTTGAAATTACATTGAAAGCGTTTCGTAATACTAAAATCACATTGAAATCGTTTCAACATACTAAAATCATATTGGTGATTTTGGTAAAATTTCCATAGGACAAAATTGACGTAAAGTTAAGTCTTTAAAATAACAATTTTACAAATCGATTTGGAAATCTATTTTTTTAAGGATGTTACTAACTATGAAAATTTTAACATATTCCATATGTTAAGTAAATTGTAGAATTTCTTTGTAACATTATTTTAATACGAGTATAGGTAAATATATATAATGTAAATAATAAAATTTCTAGTAATAGTACGCCTTACTGCCATTCCGTATTACGTTCGGTATAGCAGTTAAACTGCCAGCAGGCCCTTGATCTGCGAACAACAGTAGCTCGTGGCGAGATGCACCCATTGTTCCGAGCAGCATCGCAGCGTCCCACACGGGCTGCTGTTCCATATAATCAAACATGTCGTTCCATATTCGTTGAATGATCTGAAAAATGAAATAGAAATTAGATATATTTTATTATGAATTTTTATTTTTACGTAACTGGAATATCAAACTAACTGCCCATCTGATTGAAAGTGAAACCCTTCTGTAATCTTTATTACATAGTATAAAGTGAAGTCATTTCCACTGTCTGTTTCCGTAGATCTTTTAAACTACGCAACAGATTTTAATGCAGTTTTTAGCAATAGATAGAGTGATTTAAGAGGAAGATTTGCATGTACTTTAAATCTATACCCGAGCAAAGCCGAAGCGGGTAACTAGTAATTAGTAAGTAGTAGTAGTAGTAGTAGTAGGTATATATATAGCTGAAGAGTTTTTTTTTTGTATGGTTGATTAGGTTATAATTCAAAATTCAAAATACCTTTATTCATGTAGGTCTCTTATAATATATCAAATCAACCGTCATCAATTATTATGATTGTGTATATATTATTAATCCTTTGTGTCGAATAGTCCATTTATTAAGTAAGGTATATAGAATATATAAAAGTATATGAAACTCCGGTACAAAAAATATGCAAAGCTTATATAAATGAACTTACATATATAATATAATACCTAATATACATGGACGTACAATCGTCATGTGATATCTATACGTCTAATACATTGTCATTTCTAAAGAGTAAAATGTCATATTCCCATTTTCTGTAATTTCACTGTCATATCATTCAAACCAAAAGCTTTCAAAGCAAATCGCTTTACGGTTGAAATAGGTGAAACAAAGGTCAATAACTTTGTAAACACTGTACTTGATCAAAGTTTCATGAGTGAAGATAATAGGATGCAATAACGGCCGCAAAGAGTTACTTTTTAAAGGTAATTTAACCACTAAGAATAATATAATTTTAGTTATTTTTAAACTTTCTTGTTTAATATACATTATTTATATTATTAAACGGATCTTAAGATGAATATTTTGTGGTAAATAAAGGTATTTATTTACCTCTCTCAGCTGCCTCCGAGTCTATTAACACAGACACACACACCCGGTTCAGAATATAAATAATCTTACCGTCTGTGTAGCATTCTTAAAAACCATATCCAAACATTTATTATCCACTTTCATGTTCCACGTATAATATATGCGCCATGGTTTACCCACTATCATTTCTAAATCAAAGTACGGATGCTGCGACAGCTTAAGACAACTACCATCTTGTTTCCTCAGAGCAGATGGCTTCACTTGTAAACTGAAGATTAGTTTTAAATTAAAAATTATGAAAAATAATCGTGCACACTTCATCATTCCCATGTTGAAACTAAACCTCATTGTCATTATCGTTCAGTTATAAAGTATAACACAATGAGAACCGTTTAATTCAACAGAAATCCAAACAGCCACTGTTTGGTTTACTATCATTATTACTCCCACGGTTAGTACAGTCTTCTGTTATCAATTTTATAATAGAAGCCTAATGTCAGCAAAGAACTCGAAGCAAATTATAGAAACTATACATATAAGGTAACTATATAGGTAGGTACTTGACTAGTATTAAACAATAAGAGGTTATAAAAAATATTAGAATATTTATACTATATTACAATATTTCTTTTAGGAGAATGCATTTTCCTCCTATCTCCTAGTTGTTTAGTCGAATTTGGCCGACATTAAAAAAAATAGGTACTGACTACCTCTCCGGTAATGGAGACAACAACAACAAATAAAATTACTCCAAAAACAACGGAAGGCTCAGACGCATCCGTTCAAAGGATCCGTTCACCATAACATTGTAGCCAATGAATGATCTGCTACAACAGTCGTAAAGGTATAGACGCATCTTTGTCTTACCTACTTTAGCTGCCAAGCTACTTGCTTTATAAGACATGTTGAGGTTGAAGGATGACATATGGTAGTAAAATTACAGGGTAGGTCCTTGATATGAAGGCATATGTTGAGATCATTGGCGTTGGTATATCCTGACGTTCAGTTTTGCGGTCATTTGAAGGACAAGGCTAAAATAGCTTCTTAGCTCTTAAAAAGTTCATTCTAAAGTGTTTTCAGTAGAGTGAGACGATATTTCACAGCGGCCCATCGCTTGCAAGTATACAAGGCAAAGTTCCGGCCGCATATGGAATACTGTTCTCATCTTTGGCTGGGAGCACTACAATATTAACTACTTCCATTTGACCGTATTCAGAACCGAGTAGCAAGAATCATAGGTAATTAACGTCTTTGTGACAGACAGCCCATAGGTCGACTATTGGCTCTGCGGCGAGATATTGCACCTCTGTGTATTTTTTACCTCATATATTACGATGAGTGTTCTAAGAAATTGTTCGGTTTAATACCAGCTGCTGAGTTTCACCACCGTACCTTAGTCCTCCGAAATAGCAACGCATGATTAACAACCACAGGCGCCATTTGCTGCTGCATCTGACGGTACATTATATTCAAGCAGATGAATTTGTGCAAAGTCTATCGGAATGTATTTAATAATTTATTTAAAAATATATATTCTAAAGCGTAAAAAACCACTGTTATGTTTCCATTGGTTCAATGAATCAACCTTTATTTGTGTAATGGTTATTTTTATATTGCCGACATTTATTTTGAAAATGAAATTCTGTTGGTCGCTTTGTTGGTTTGAGCTTTGCGTGCTCTACCTTACAAGGCTTCGTTCATACGGCAACTTATTGTAGCAAGACAGTCGGCCGATTTAATGTGATTGCTGCAAAGTTATAGATAAACTACTAACTAACTAACACTTATTGTTTTATTAATTCCAGTACGTATGAAAATGCAATTACGACATAATTGCTTTTATATATAAATTTTCTGCCGGCTAGCAAAATCTATTGCTACTAGTAAACAAATCTTTATAACTCCTAGGCCAATAATTTATCTGTTTAGTACTGTCTTGACTTTGCTTCACGCTATGAAGATATTACTATCTCAGACAGTTTGGCGTATTTAGGAGTATCTTAGCCTGTCGGTCTATTTCCGGGCCCTAACGGTCATGAATTCGATTCTCTAGTAAATAACATCAATAAGAAATCTAATTAATTCGAGAGACGGAGTTAGGTTCAGCCTGTGCACAGCGTAATCTCTGTCTCTGTGTTAGCGTCTCTAAATAATTCTGTTGTGAAAATATATTTATTTATTTATTTATATATGTACTTGTATCCTATATCCGATTTAGCTATAAATGTAATAACAGTAAGTAAAGTACTAGTATATGTATTGATGCATATTTTGTATTGTTGTACCTTATGTTGATGATCCATAAAATTAATAAATATAGGATAGTGCATAGTAATAGAGACAATATCACTAATCCCCGAGTAAAAAGTAGAATCTAAATAAATAATATAATATATAAAATTATAGATAAATACTATTACACCTACTGAAATGTGGTCTCTGTGAGCGATGTGCTTAAACCTCGTTGCAAAAAGTCGCCAAGTTCAGAGACTTAGGCTCATTTGTTGTGGCGTGGGCGTACACCGAGCCGGCCACCGATGCGTATCTTCCGAATAGGTGGAATTGGTAGGCGGAATATTATTACTGGCCGTTATGTTCAGTGACAGAAAGCGAGGTTGTACGTAATGAGTGCGCCGCCCAGCAGCGGTCAGCGGTGGTGGAATTAAAAAAAATAATTAAAGTAATATGTTTTGTGTTCCATTTTTAATTTTCAAATCGTGTTCCAATTTGAGATAGAACGCGCTTTTAGTATTTTTTACGTGTAGGTAGCAACTCTGAACCTATGATTATTTACGTTCCTTTTTTAAACTTTCCACTACTAGTTTTTTGTTTTACAATATTTTTTATTATACTTTACTTTATTATACTATTAGAAGCTTTTACTACTCTCGTTATATAAGAGAAAGCTAAACTAAAGTATAAAACAAGCTAACCAAATCGTTACATCTTACTTTTGGGTTATATCTATCACGTTGATACGTCGTAATACGTTACGTCTATAGTACTTTTTCTCATATAAGTTACATTTTTTATACGTACAGAAAAAGCAAACTTATTCGCATTTTTTATAACTAGCTGTACTTAATTAATTGTTTACATCTGTCTGATTAATGCCTTGCATTTAGCACGCCATGTTCACAACTGATATCAGACGTCGATAATGTTCTACAAAATTTTATTAAGTATATTTACTTATATATAAAATTCTTGTGTCACACTGTTACTTATTTAATTCCTCCGATACGGCTTGTCCGATTTTTATGAAATTTTATATGCATATTCAGTAAGTCTGAGAACCGGCTACTATTTATGTTTCATATACCTAAGTGATAAGGGTTGTGCACCCCTATTTGCTTTGCATTGCTTTATTTTTTGGATTTTTTTAAAATAATGTGGCATTAAAAATACATACAACCCTAAATTTTCATCCTTCTACCACCAACCCCTATTGTATACGTTTGCCGGGACAGCTACTAACAAAAAAAATGAAAAATGAATCCTACCATATTTTACTTAAGTATCCTGTAATTGATATTTATTTATCATGATAATCTTGGCGGTCTAGCAGTTTGAGTACAATCTTACTACGCAATGATTGCGGATTCGAAACTCGGCTAATACAAATATTTGTTATCATGAGTCGAATTGTTAATTATTTTAATGTATAAATCGGATTATTTTTATGAACCAATGTGTATGTATGTATATATAATGTCTAAGTACTATATGTATATAAATACGTCTAGTAGATACTCATAGCAGGTACAAGCTCTACGTCGTTTAGAACAAGTTGACTGTATGTGTTTCATGGGTTATTTTATTATATAAAGAGAAATATACGTATATCAACATACGAGAAACAAAAACTTTGTAAGCTTTTTACAAAAATTGCGCGGACGGAGGAGTATGAAACTCACACATATAGTTTATATAGAGAAGGAGTGCTAAATGGTAATATTTTTTTATATCTTATACAAAAAAATATGTTTTATACTTTGAATAATCCCCCACAGTGAACTTACGAAGTTCTTGTGTTACTATGATAAGAGTTGGAGTACCTACATACTCCGTACTAATATATATCAGTCTGAAATGAAGATAGGTTCTATAGCGAAAATGAACGCAAGCTTTTTAATTCTAAGCTTGGCGAATAGAATATATATAGTATACACTATAGTATGACATATATTTGTAACATGAAAAAGTTAACAAGTTCAGTTTAAGAAAAAAATCCCCAAAATTGTTTCAGCCTTAGGGATTTGAGGCGTAAGTAAATTTCGAATTGTCTGAACTAATCATAATGAAATTCTAAAACTTCTAAACGGGGACAATTTGATTTGTTCAAAAACAGAAAAGCTCGCTGTTGGGTATTCAGGTGAGATGCAGTTTGAACACAAGCTGTCAGGGGCAGAAACAGCCGCGAGCGCGCCACATTTACAGGGTTGTCAACTAAACTAAATCTAAATATTTATTAAAACATGAAGCAATCATTTTGTACCCTATAAAAAATGCGCGATCAGAACAGTATGTCATTTCGCACCTTTATAGTTTATATATAGGATAAATGAAGAATGTTAATATTTTTATAAAATTATACACAAAAAGTACATTAAATCAATTAAAAAACATTACACACACTACCATGTATTTTTGACACAAGCAATAAACAAAAGAGTATATATATATATATGTATACTGCTAGTGCCTATGATTCTAGAAGTCTTTGACTCTGTTCAGATGTTCTGTCGGTAAAACGTATAAAATATACAAACAGAGACACCTTTGAATTTATAAGACAAATTGTTAGTCACTATTTCATCCGATTTTTTTAGATGTAACGTAGCCCATGTTCGTCCTCGTAATACAATTTGATTTTACGTCACATTTCATTAAGATCCTTTTAGCCGTTTAGTCGTGAAAAGGTAGCAAACAGACTTTTGTATTTGTAATACTAGATGTTACACATGAGATTGTCTGTACAAAATCGTCTATTATAATATTGTGGGTTAAAAATAGCCTAATATATTATGTAGTCCATTTTCGTGATACATCTATCCTCTTAACAGATTTCATTAAAATTCGAGCAGCCCTTTTGTCGTGAAAAGGTAACAAATAGATAGACACTTTCGAATTTATATTAATAGCATATAGGATTAAATATAAATTATAGTAATTGTATATTAAAAAAAATTAAATTTCGGGATATACCAAAATTATTTGGTAAATAAAATTGTTTGTAAACTTATCCATAAATAACAATCCTAGTAGATATATCCTAGTAGATATATGAATGCAAGAATAATTAATTGAGAATCGCACTA